AACCGAGCAGACCTGCAAATTAATGTCTCTTTATTTCACAGCGAGCATTTCGTTAAAGCTTGATTTATCACCATATAGCTCGCGCTCGGGTTTTTATCGGTCGATCGCCCGTGGCTCCGATCGCTCCTTTAATTATGCAACGCCGTACGGATCCTATTCCGCGGCCTGGAGCTAATAATAACGATCGGAGAGCACGCGCGCGCGATCTCGTTTCCTTTTCTCTGCGCTCGCGATTCCGCGATTCCTCTTTTATCCTCTCCGCTGCCAGGGGAGCGTTTAATAAAACCACGAACACGCCCAAAGTAGCGTGCGGCATAAACACATTGCTCAAAACAATCAGAGAATCAGATTTCTAAGTCAGATATCAGATTCGAATGAAATATACCGCATTAAACTTCAGGCCGTTTCGTTCGGGCTCGTTTGACCCGAAATGAGTTTCATTTTAGATACAAAAATGATGTATGGCCGGTGTTACGCGATATTACACGGGATAGCGATGGTAAATGGGCGTACAGGTTGAAAAGTCGAAGACATAGAAACCGAGAATACATTTCTTCCTGAATGGGCTAAAATTAGGTCCAGTTTCATAGATACCTATCGCGCGGTCCTTTATTTTCCAGCCAAGGTATTCATCGATAATGCCTGGCATTCGTAATCAAAAAGGGTCCACTCCTTTCTCATATCGCGCATTTTTTCGTCCAATTAAAAGGCAACGCGGATCAACCGATCGTGTCAGTTAATCAAAACGAGCTCGAGGTCCTTTCTCCTCGTTAAGAGAGAGCCACGGTTTCCCATTTGTCGCGTGCACAGCGAATATCGACCATTTATCGCGAGCTTAGGATCGAACTCACCAGGTTTTTCTCGCGACTTTCATGCTTACGATCGCTCCAGCTCTTTGCCTTCTCTCTCTTACCTCCGCGCACAACGCTGTCCCGTTAATGGAAATATCTTCCGTATGCGTTCCATACACAGCCCAGAAAGCTAATTAACCATAACTTTCCGTAAATGGATGCAACGCGCGATATCCTCGTTTTATTGCCAGACCGCGCCGAAGGTGGTAATGAATATATTCCTGCGGGACAAGCCTGCATCGTTCCCAGCCGCACACCTTTTTCACCATGGAACTTAATCATTTACCAGTTCCTCCGACGTTCTTTCAAATACTAGAAAACCGTGCGTACACTGTAATATCCTCGTTCGGTAAACCGACTGTCCCCTTGTTAATCAAAGGAATAAAATTAAAAACGAAGTAATTAGATCGAAAGGTTCGAGAATAATTGTTCCAGGAAATGGTTTCTCAAAGTGTTAACAATGTTCAAATGCCCACTGCCTGTAATACCGTTTTTAACGAGCAAACACCAAGAACGATTTGTATTATCACGCGAAAGTTGCATAATTCTCGAGGCAGTCACGAGAGAGAAACGTCGATGCAATCTCGCTCGAGATGACTGTCTGACTAAAATTCTAATTCCCCTTGAACGTCGCCTAACACGTCCCAACGGCTTTCCCTCAACCCGAGTTCCCACTTTGGTCACCGTAAAACGGTCGAGGTAATTAATAACGAATTTATCCCGGTGATAAGGTGGTTTGCAACGCGCCGCCTCGCCGGCGTATCTCGTTGATTTGACTGACCGGCAATAAAGCACCATTAACACCGGCTGGCATTTTTCCCCAAGTGCAAAGTGCTAAATTATAAAGTCACCGTGGAGAACCAGATCGGACGCGATATTTCTTGCCCTCCGCGCACGTCCGTCCCGGCTTTTGCTCTCTTAAACTGGTCCCACGTGAAGCTCCCTTCGTTTGTCGAGATACAAAAGAAAACCGTATCGTACAATTCGTTCGAACATCCCCACGATCAACCTCTCCTATTATTTCTCGTTTCTTTCGGAAAAGGATCAGAACGATCGCGGCTGCTGTATAAAGTATCATTGGTACACGCGCGTGTGCGCAAAAAGAGCACACCGGTTCGTGTGGCTGGTGTGTGCGTGGTGCGATATCAAGCCGCACCGACCGGTGCAATAACAGTGATTAAGCTTTATCGTGGCCGTTTCAGCGGACTATTTATCTGTCGGCCGCGAAATTACGCGCTGTAAAGACATAATAGGAACGTGATCCAATATTGTCGTTTGTCCACAGCGGCCGCTCGAACCCGGCCACGCAAAAACTACCGGTTATTAATCGAGAATTTAGCACTTTTATGTGTTCCACCGGTCGGCTACGACTTCATTCGCCGAGGGAGATCGCAACAAGACCACGGTGTCGAAATCTTTCCGATTGGTTGCTGCTTAGTATATCTCTCGACGTATGCTGTTCAACCCCTTGTCTCGTGATTTTTTCCTAGTTTCCTAGCTTGAACTCGGATATTTGCTGTTTCAGTAGACCCAAGTATCTACAAACACGGTGCAACGTTGTAGCCAATTTGCATTCGTATTATAGTTCTCTCTTCGTCTAAGATTTCTACGGAAGAATCTCTCTAAACAGATAGAGTAGCCACGAAAGTGTGTCTGTCGTGGATAAATATGATCCGTGAGAAATTCGCGGCATTCCCATTAGCCATTTGCCAGTGTAGCTGGCCCCGACTATTAAAATACAATAGGGTGGCAAAGCGACGGCGAAACAAGTGACGGTGTTACACGCGAATTTTTTTCTAACACAATACGACGGTGCGCGGACAGCCATAATTTTCAGTGAACACGCATCCGCGGGTGCAAAAGGGACACACACACACACACGCGCGCGCGCACGCGTGGTTTTCTCGGCGCGAAAGACGCTCCGCGGAACAACGCAACGCGCGAGAGAGTTTCAGCGGAGTGTGCAGCGAGACTCGCGTACGAAAGCAGAAAATGCGATCTAATAGGGTGCGATTATTTACCGATGGTTTGCATAAGAATACGACAACTGAATGACCTATAGGAAATTGTTGTACAGCGTACAAAAGCGGAGAAATAGTTGGTTGGTATATCGCGGTTGATTTATGGGGCAGAGAGCAGCTTATTTCTCCGAGTGCTTAACAATTGTTTCCTGACAATGAGCGTATATCAGATATGAGTGACACGAAGAAACGTTTTCTACCATTCATCAAGCTGGCACTCGGTCGGCGAGTAAAGTAATTACACGTTTTCCTGTGTCGTTTCAAAGGGTCATCCATCTGCTCGCAAACCCGGGGAAACAATTCCGCCGTAGACGTCCCTCGACGACAAAATAAATCTCTAATTAGCAAGATCTTACGGGGGAAAGGAAGTTCGATGGGGACGTGAATCTGTGTGCGCGATGATTTTATATTCGTGAGGAAAGTTCGTTATATACCTTCTCTGTTGAATATTCAGGAAGACGGCGGAGAATCGATGGTTAAAATGGTGATGCTCGGCGCCGAGTGGAATCGTAATTTTTACGCGAAATCGTAGAATCGTCGCGGTAATTAACTCACGTGTCGGTTGTACGTCTTAATCAAGCCGTGATGTAATAATGAAAGAGTCACGAGGTAGTTACACACCGTGAGAGGCCTTATAGAATTTTTGATTCTCCGTGTTTCGTGGTTCGATGAATTATTAAAATATCTCAATTAAAATCGCGGCTCTTCTATCTCGAGCGTGGATCAGATTCGAAAGCAACGTTCTGCCGAGTTTTATTTATGCCGGGGATATATTGTGTCACGAGCAGATTTTTCTCAGCCACGCTCGAATAATTAGTAAATCGTTGCGTTGTGTAAAAGGTCCAGCTGTCGATAATCTGAATAAAATTGTTGAAATCGTGACAGAGCATTATCCGTCCAAGCAACCGTTCCCTTGCATAATAATCGTTTCTTTCAGAACTTGGAAATATATAACTCTTTCGCACCGTTGAAACTTATGAGTCGATGAACTTTCGGGACCATTATACCGTTCTAACGAGAAACCCCTTTATCGGCCAATTTCTCGCTGACAATTGAACGTATATATTCGCCAGTCGTTTAGTAGTTCACGTTCTTCCAAAAAGAAGGGAAAATAAATCTCCAACTTTATACCAATATCTCGTAAAACGTTCCTACGAATAAATTGACCAAGAATCACGAGCAGGCACAGGAAATACCGTCGACTGTATTAAACTGACCTTTCGCTGTGCGCAACAATTATTTCACGTTTACTGGAAATTTATCTGCGAACCGGCCAACCGATCGACGCGTATACCTACACCTCTTCCTATCGATTCGTGACCGTTACATAACGAACGTGGGACTATTTTAACTTTCATAAGTGAAAAATTACACAGTGTTGCCCCTGAGAAACTCTTTGTAACTCGGCTAGTTAACGAACCTGCATATCAGTACTTGAAATTTTTACACGGTGTAAACCGAATAGCAATAGTTTCCCCCATGCTTTTATCTACCATCGCTACAAACGTTAATGACTGTCATTAGAAAAGCCTAGCGTACACTCTATACGTGTGGTACAATGTACAGGCGAAAGAAAACTCACCGGAGGAAGGTCGATCCGAGTATCTGGTGCAGTAGACCCACGCAGGCCAGGGTAACTGTTTCCCTGGCTCGGTCACAGGTGGTCCTGGTGCGTTCGTGGTTGAATTCCCCGTGGAAACGCCACCACCGGACGTGGCGTTGGTCGTAGAGCTCGTTTCCGAGCTACTCTTCTCCGAACTTTCCGAGGCAGACTCGAGAAAGTCTTTCGTCAGGTCTATGGGCCTCGAGCTCACCTTCTTCGGACGCGATTTCTTCAGGGAAATAGGATCGGTGATCCTTCTACCGAAGTCTGCCTTTAGAATATTATCTATACTGAACTTCAAGCTAGCCTGATGTTGCAGATTGTTATTGTTATTATGGTTATTGTTACGATGGTTACTGTTGTTGATGCCATTATTCTGAACACCGTTAGCGCCAGGCAACGTTCTTCCGTTCTCCTCTCTGGCTCCAGGCGAGACAGGACTACCAGGTTCCCTCTGAAGAATCTTACTGACGGATAATCGATGCTGATGCACCGAATTCGCCGGTACGTGCTGCACCTGGGACGTTTGATGAATGTGAACGTGACTGTTCGCGTGGTGCAAATGTTGACCCGGGTGAGGCATCAGAGAGGCAGTTTCTCTCGGGTCTCTGCAGGCTGTAGGGTGGAGAACAGGGGTGGTAGCTTGCAGACCGGTGACTGTCATGGCCGACGGTGGTGACAACGATAGTCTCGTTACCAGAGGAACGCTGATCGGAGTTCTGTGCAGTCTTTCGACAGTCGGATACACAATTTCGTGACTCAGACTGTGCTGAACACGAGCTGGATAATCGGGGATCTCGGTTTCCCTCGAGGAATATCGTGGTAGTAAGTGTTGCGGGTGACTGGATTGATACCTGGGCACTATGACGTCTTGAATGGCCTCAGGGCGACCCGGGGAGGAGGCAGTTGCCGACGAGGAAGCCGGCGACCTGACCGAGGACGCCGTAGGCGACGAAGGTGGTTGACTGTAGGCCGGTGGACTCGGCGCAGGGATGTGATTAGACGTTCGCTGATAGAACGCATCGTTGCAGCTCGTCGAGCTAGAAGGCGACGGTGTCGCCGACGTCCTCGTGTTTTCTTCGTCGCGAAAGTCGCCACGACTACTGGCCGATTCCTGGTCATACCTGACTGAACCACAGCCACGGATTCCAACGACGCTCGTGGGCGTCGGTTCGCTACCGACGCTCAACACTTCGCTGGTGTCGCTTTCGCAATCGCTGTCGGGGTTGTTGCCGTCATTTCCTCGTATCTGTTCACGTTTCTCGGAGTCCTCGGACAACTCCAGCCGAGTTGTTAGATGATTCTGCCTGATCTCGTGGAGATCGTTGGTATCTAAACCCGTGGAAGATTCCGGTGGCGTGTTCGACATGGTTCTTTTCCTTCCTCGTATATTTTTACTCTCGGTAAAATTTCTTTTCCACTCTGTCCAGCTGATCGGGGTAGCGAAATTGAGGTTAGGCTTGAATTAACTTTAGCCTTCCCATCGCGACAGCTGGAGAGATCCTCTTTTTACTCTGCCCCCAACTGTCCTCTTCGGTCTACCGGTCGTTTTGGCGATTTTCAGATCGTTCAGTGTACCCACCTAACGGATTCCATCCGCAGCAAATAGCCTGGAGGGAGCATCGTGTTCGTGGATGGCACCTGTCCGATCTCTCGCCGTCCGTGTACCATCAACGGAGGCACCCTGGACGTCTTACTCGCATAGTATCGTTAGATTACCTCATGGAGTACACCGTTCTCGTGTGAAACTTGCAAATATTCGCGCACCCTTCAGTCACGCTACTATCCCTCGAGCACTAGGTACTCTTCCTCCGGTTTCTTGCCGACGGACACTGTTCAGGCCAGTTCATGACGGACCGCCACATGGATTTCCGACTTTATCTCTCATCCTTCCCCGGAAACAGTCTCTCTGAGCGTAGTTACACTAAGAACCAAGTCGAACCGAGCCGGTAGATCATTACTCCAAGTGACAGTCCAACCGACAACGAACCGTATCGTACCGCCTCGAAATCTTCTCGATACGTCCATAATCCATCGCACTCTCACTTTCGCGTTCCTCCTGGTCTGCGGTAGCCGGTGGTCCTTGAACTGAAAGAGGGTACTCTCTAGCTGGTTCACAAGTAGATACTCTGTCAAGTAGCGACGCGCACCGAAAGCAGAGCCAGCGAGCAGGAAACCGAGGCGAGAAACACCGGGCAAAACGGTTCGTACGGGGGACAGAGACCGGGAGGTGTGACGAAG